CCCAAGAGAAGTGACTATCTATCCACTTCCTACTTGCAAAGTTTTACTGCTGTTGGCTCCTGTACTACTATCTTCATTCATGTTAACTTTTATCTTCATTCATGTTAACTTTTGTTTCTTTTGGAAATTCCATTTTTTTTTGCTATTTTATTAGAATTTCTGGAAGGAGTTGCAGCCATCTAAACTGGAAGCCAAAATAAGTTGTTTATTTGTATTTATGTACATAGTCTGAACACTCTTTAATTCAGTCTATATTGCTTAAAGTGATTTGAGTTTTGTTTTTGTTTGTGGGCCACACCCAGTAGTGCTCCAGGGCTATACTATCAGAAATCAATCCCCTAGGCTACTCCACTGCACTGTAGCACAGTCTTCATATTGTTCATCAATTTACTCGAGCCCGCACCAGTAACGTCTCCATTGTGAGACTTGTTGTTACTGTTTTTGGCATATCGAATATGCCACGGTGAGCTTGCCAGGTTCTGCCATGCAGGCGGGATAATCTCAGTAGCTTGCTGGGCTCTCCGAGAAGGATGGAGGAATCCATCCTGGGTTGGCCGAGTGCAAGGCAAATGCCCTACCTGCTGTGCTATTGCTTTAACTACTCCACTACCAGAAATTAAATTCCAGCCTCCCAAGTGCTTTCGCATACTTTCAGACCTTTGAACGCTAGCTCACTTGCCCTGGAGTAATTTTGAAATGCAATTCTAGTATGCCACCTCTCAGTTAAAAACAGTTCAGTGGTGTTCTAGGGGAAAGTTCAAAGTCTTCTACCTAATCTGTGACCCTAGCAGAGTTTGTTTGACTTGCTCCATAGCCTCACTCTGTCCCTTGAACTCTGGTGTGCTACTTAGTCATGCTGCTCTTTAGTTTTCTGAATGCTGCCAAACCTATGCACTTCGATCTCCTTTCCTTCTTTCTTTTTCTCTTCTGGAGTTTAAGCTTCTATAGAGCAAGGACTACAAGAATTTTCATTCACCACTGTCTTGTCAGCACTTGGAGTTGTGAGGAGCACAGTGTAAGCATATAACAGCCAGTTGTTTCAAGGAAAATAACAAAAATTGCTTCACTCCCCTTATTCTCTAAGTTATCTTTATCTAAACTTCAAGGAAGGGTCTCAAGTATATTTTTCCCTTCCATACTCCCGAGGAAGAAGGCAGAAGAGCAATATAGGAGTAGGTCTTATGGGACAATTTTTTGGTCTGTCCACCAAGGATGGTGTCAAGCATTGTACAGTGCACCAGCTACCAATGTGAAGGGAGGACCCTAGACACTTCTATCCATTCCAGCTGGGGCTTATAGTCTTTATGGGAAAAAAAAAAACAGCCAATAAAGAACTATATAGGATACTTTACAAGAATGACACTTTATAACCTTTATAAGATAAGACAGAGTAAGCAGGTTTGGCTGATGTTTTGAAGGCTGATGGCCTGTGGGTCTCCACTGACTGCTGGATGACATGCTACACTCTTCTGATGCTCAAATAAGGAGGAGCTTTGTTCTTTCCCCTCCAAGACCAGATTCAATAGGGAAGTCAATCAGGTGTGATGCAGATACTTTAAGAAGAGACAAAAGATACTCACTGAGTCTGTTCGTTTTTTGGGTCACATCAGCAATGCTCAGGGGTTTGCACTCAGGAATTACCCCTGGCGGTTCATGGGGGACCATATGGGATGCTGGGGATCGAACCCGGGCCGGTCGTGTGCTGGCAGCTGTACTATTACTCCAGCCCCTACTCACTGAGTCTGAAACTAGGAAAGATATTCCTGTACACTGGTGACATGCCAGACATACTGTGTTGATTCTTTAATTCTTGGTAAAGAAAAGTTCAAAAATTTGAGGCCTCTTCTCAAGCTGCTGAGTGGGGCTGAAAAGACTAGTACATGAAATTATCTTTTGCAATACATGGTCTTTATGTTTTCTCCTTATATTCTCTTCAGTATTTCTTTTTAGAGTTTTTGGGTGGTCTTCTTGTTTATTCTTTTTGTATATCTAGGACTGAATAGAAGTCTAGGAAAAGGAAACCTAAACTAAAAAAAGGAGATATCTTCTTCTTCTACACTGAGATTTGCAAGTGGGGGCAAGTTTCAGCAGTAAAAGATCTTTTCTTTACTGCCCCCCTCTACACCCCCCAATTTTAGCAGGAGAGTGTTTGGGCCATATTCTGTGGCACTCAGGGACTACCCTGGCTTTGTGCTTAGAAGTGATCATGGGATCATATGCAGTGCTGGGGGGTCAAACCAGGGTTGACCACGTGCACGGCAAATGTCTTATCCATTATACTACTCTCCAGCCCTATCCAGTGCCCTTTCTCCATATCTCTTGTTAACTCTTAGCTTTGGTAGAGTTCAGGGTTTCAGATTTCATCTTACTACTCCTATAACCTCAGAATCTTGGGTGCCCTGTTCAAGTTCTATTTACACGTCAATCATTTGTTAATTTTGTAAAGTCCAATGACTGTGACTTTTATCATACACAATAAAGTATCTTTATTCAAAGTGTCCAAATAGTGTGTCATCAATTCCAATGGGGTTTTGTAAGATATGCCTTAAGCTCAGAGGATGAGTAGAGCGTTTACCTTGCACCTGACTGATTCATGTTCAATTCCTGTACCCCATATGGGCTCCTGAACACCACCAAGATTAATTTATGTGTGCAGAACCAGAAGCAAGCCCTGAACATCCTGGGTGTACCTCCAAAACAAACAAAAAGAAATATGCCTCGAGCACCAGAGGACAAATGTATATACACCAGAAGAATCAATTGTACATATCCCTGTCCTTTTCTGTTTGTTTTCATCTACATCACTTCATTTTACCTACAAATAACCCCACTATTGTAATCCTCATTTAATAGGTGAGGAAAGTGAGACAGAGGGATTCAGCAACTAATGTGATTAACCCATTAAGAAGCTAAATTAGGTACAGAACCATGGTACTCTGATTTAAGCCAGCCTTCTCAAGTTCTTAATTAATTATTATTTTAGTTCTTGCACCACACTCAGCAGTGCTTAGGGCTTATTGCTGGTTCTGTGCTCAAGGATGACTTCTAGGGGAGCATGAGGGACCATAATGCCGTGCCAGTGATCCAACCTGGGTAAACCATGTGAAAAGCAAGTGCCTTACCCACTGTAATATCTCTCTGATCTTACCCTATTTTCTAATCTGCATGAGATTTTGCATGCTGAAGAAGAGCCTAGTTCTATCCCTGGCAATGCATGTGGTTCCCAAGAACGGCCAGAGTGAACCCCAAGCACAGATCCAAATGTAAGCCTCTAGAACTCCAGCAATTAGGTGCTTGTCTTGCACTCAGCTGACCCAGGTTCAATTCCTGGAAATTCGTGGCTCCCCAAGTTCCACCTGAGGAATAACTCCTGAGCACAGAGCACTTTGGGTGTGGCACAAAACTGAAGAAACAAACCCCAAACAAACGAACACAAACAAAAACCCCAGAACAGATGTAAGCTCAGAGCACCCCTTGGCTGCTTGGGAAGACCCTAGGGGTGCCCCATCCCAACCCTGACATTTGAAACACATCCCTAATACTCCCTGACATTTTACTATATTAACTCATTCAACACTTTCTGTCAGCACTTTTTCTTTTGGTTGGGGTCTACACCTTGCGGTGTTCAGGGATCACTCCTGACAGGGTTCTCAGACCAAATGGGGTGCCAGATAACGAATCTGGGCTGGCCGAGAGCAGGACTAGCACTTTTTTTTTTTTTAGTAGTTCAAAAAGCTTTAACACCCTGCAATGCACAGAGGTTAACTCCTGGCTCTGCACTCAGTTTTACTCCTGGTGGTGCTCAGGGGACCCTATGGGATGCTGGGAATCGAATTCGGGTCAGCCCCGTGCGAGGCAAACGCCCTCTCAGCTGTGCTATCACTCCAGCCCTAGGACCAGCACTTTACCCCCCTGTATATCAACTCTGGCCCCACGTGCAGATACCCTTAAACATCCTTTGGCAGTTGAGGAAATCAACTGAGTCAGAGCACTTTGCTTTGTCAGAGACAAAGTGAGCTGCTCTCACTCCAGGAGCCAACTCTTTTTTTTTTTTTTTAATGTACTTGTAAACCACCACCTCTTCTTCCTCACATCCTATCATTAGCTAATGAGTTTCAGACTAATGAGTTTCAAAACTCGTTCTCCTCTCATCCATCAAGCAGGTCTTTAAGAGGCAGCTTTTAGGCTTAGGAATCCAGTGGTCAGCGCAGGGAGGGGAATCATAAACGGTGGCGCTCCCGCTAGTTGCAAACGGTTAAAACCAGAACCTTCCACCGGGTGTCGACACACACGCGGGGGGTCACAGGGCAGGTCCCCGCGCCGCCCTCTGGGCTTCCCCACGTCAGAGCCCGGCTGTTCTGGCCCCTCAGGGACGACGGCCCAGAAGGAGGGTCCAGGGGGCGCTTCCTCACAAAACCCCTCGGGCAGAGAGAGCGGAAATCGCCGCCCCGCGGGGGTGCCGGCCTCGCGACGCCTCGGCATCCGACCCTCGGGGCCCCCCGCCAGCCCCTCAACGGCCGCAGCCGCTCGCTCGGGGCGGCGCCTCGGTGGCGAAACGCGCCGAGACCCCAACGGCCGCTTCCTCCGGAAGCGCCGCGGCCCGCGCTCGGCCCCGCCCCGCCCCTGGCCCCGCCCACCACACAGCCCCGCCCCTCCCCCCGCGGCGGGCGGCTCGGAGCACGCGCAGACCACGGGGCCGCGGGCGCGCGCGGCGGGGCGCGTGCGCAGACGGGGCCGAGGCGGGTGCGGGCGGGGGGCGGGGGTGGGCGCCGCGGGCGGGCGCGTGGAGCGCGCATGGGCAGAGCGGCGGGACGGCCGTTGTCCGGAGCCGAGCGGGGAGCGTGGGCGCCATCTTCTTCCCGACTCGCCGTGTGAGGGACGAGGGCGCCGCCTGTGCTGGCGCCGCCCCGGGCCCGCCGGTCGTGTCGGTGCGAGCGGCCCGGCAGCAGCAGCGGCGCGTGTGACACGGCTGCCCCGCGCCCAGCCCAGGCCGGCCCGGGGCTCCGCGGGGGCCGGGGCGGCGTCAGCCGTGAGCGCGCGGCCTCTGTGAGGAGGGGCCGGGCGGGCGCCCCCCGCGGCTCCCCGACGCGGAAGATCTCCAGGGATTGCCTAGGTATTATTCCCCTCCCCCTCCCGGCCTCCCCCTCATCCTCCTCTTCCTGCTCCCGCTCATCCTCCTCTTCCTCCTCCTCCTCAGCCTCCTCAGCTTCCTCAGCTTCCTCATCCTCCTCAGCCTCCTCAGCCTCCTCAGCTTCCTCAGCTCTGTCGCCGTAGTCCGCGGCAGGCCGGGCTCGCCGGGGCTCGAGCGAGCGGGCGGGCGGGCGGGCGGGCGGGGCGGAGCCGGGGTGCGCCCTTGGCACGGCGTTTCCGACCGACGGACGAGCGGACGGACGGACGGACGGGCACGGCGGCGGGCGGTGCTCCAGGGAGCCCAGAGACGAGGCCCGCGGCGGCGGCGACAGCAACGGCGACGGCGACAGCAGCGTCGGAGCCCACGTCGCCACGGTGGCCCGCGGCGCCACCCGAGGACGCCGGGAGCGGGACGGCGGTGCCCGCGGAGGATGCCCGCCGAGGAGCGCGGTGGGGGACGACGACGACGCGCCGGGGACGCCACCTCACCGCCCCTCAGGGGACTCTTTCTTCTTCTTCGGTCCCGTGTCGTCAGGCCTCTTGGTTTTGTTTTATTTTTTTTAATTTAATCTTTTTTTTTAAATTTTAACTCTCCACACGACGAAAGGAAATTAAAAAAAAAAAAGGCAGAGCGTCCTTTCAACAACAACAACAAACAGCAAACAACAAAAGAATTGTGGGGCCGGGGGGTGGGTGGTTTTCTGCAGGGGGCTCGACTTGATGCGTTTGCAAGGTGAATATGTCCGATTTCCCCCTTCCCCCACCCAAAGTTGGGTCGGAGGAACCAGTCGCTGATTATTTTTTTTTCTTTGGTTTGTTTGTTTCTTTATTATTGTTTGGTTGGTTTTTTTCCTTCCTCCTCGTGCCCTGGGAAGTTGACTGGTTTGTTCCTCCAGGTCTCAAGTTGCTCTGAGGTTATGCCTCATTAAATTCAGTCTCCCGCCCGTTTTCTCTCCCTCTTCGGCCTTCATCGGAAGATGCACGTTAGATATTGTTCGGTGATCCTGGTGATCACGTGGGATGAGCCACGGAATCAAGTAACTTTAAATGAGCTTGAAAAAAAAATTGGTGCTTCGGGGCTGGAAGGAGCGGGCAGATGTGAGGCGGGGTGGGCAGGGTGGGGGGGTTGTGCTGAACCGGGGAGAAAATCCCATTAAAAACAGAAACAAAACTTACTGCTTTAACCCCCTGAGATCTTTTCCAAGAAATTCTTTTCATAGGACTTCTTTTCAACAGCCACACAATAGTTTAGTTGTCTTCAGGAATAGGAAAAAAAAAGGAAGTATTTTATTTTCTGTGTTCTACTAATGTAGAATAGGATTTCTGGGGAATTGGCTTAAGGAAATAACACAAAATTATTAGAAAAGAGCTCCTTTGAAGAAGGCTGGCCTCTGCAGGTAGGGTGTCTACTTGGAGTGCTGTTGTAGCAGTTAATAAGTGGTACTTTTCTGTCACAAGGGCAAACGTGTTTTTAAGCATCAGTTGTTTTTGATGGTGACAAAAGAGAAATATTTACAGTCGAGTTTCAGTTCATGAGATTTGTAGTTATGGTGCTTCTTAGAGTTGTTTTTGAATTAAAACTAGTCAGTTTGAAAATTTGACACGAAATTATTCCTTTAAACGTCCCTAACTCTGAGACTAGGGTGAATCTCATATTTTAAAAGAAGTTTAGGAGTGATAAAATGGCAGTGTATCTTAGGCTGATTTGTAGCTTTTTTTTTTTTTTAATAAAAAGGATTGTTAAGTCGGTTTGAAAAAGGAATCTTGAAATTTTTAATATGGATTTCAGAAGCTATGCGTTTTCTTGAGTTCAGATTTTTGTAATAGGCGTTTTTAGATGAACTGTTATCTGTTCACAACATTATTGAGCAGATTACGATGACGATCATCCTGTTGTTTGTTGATTGCCTTGAGCAGGCACCAGTAATGTCTCCTTTGACCTAGCCCTGAGATTTTAAAATGACACTTTTTAAATTGAGCAGAAGGCATAGGAATTTCCCACATATTTCTTCCACGCATGTATCCTGCATATGTTTTAATATGCAAAACATTAAAACATTAATGTTTTGATTTTTATTATTTTTGATTTTTGACCCACACCTTACTGTTCTCTTGGACTATTCCTAACTGTGCTCTTGAACTGTTCCTAACTGACCTTTGTGGTGGTTTAGGCTAGGCTGTAGTGCTGAGGATCCTCTGCACGAAAGGCAAGCAAGCACTGCACCTTCTATATGATCTCTCTGATTAAATTCAGATGATCAATAATTATAGATGATATGAAGAGTATGTCGTATGTCAAGTGATTTCTTGTTATCTTTGTTTACTTTATAGTTCAAAAAGCTTAAACTTTGACCACATGAAAAGAGAACTAATTAGCACACGTCAAAAACAAAATATCTTCACGACAACACTTTATGGAGGAAAATTACTTCAGTGTAATGGACTAAAACTTTTGTTTGTACATTAAAATCACAATTTATTTGTAGTTACTAAATTAGCAGGCCATTAAAACCTATTTGATAAGACCACATTAAATACTGCTAATTTGAACATCTGACAGTATTAGATGTGCTTCCCTTTGAGAAATCTGCATTTGGATTGTTTTAATGATCCCAAATAGTCCATACTAGACCAATGTATTTTATGTTGTCATTAGGTTCCTTTCTATAGGACCGTTGTTTGAAATGGATTTATGTATTGATTTAATACATCTGTTCTTTGTACATTATCTATTTGCCTTGAGGTGTTTAGTAACAGTTTTAGGAGTTTAAGATGAGAATTAGTAGTAGTAGACTTTTGATTTTATAGTTACTTAGTATTTGCCTTAATTATTGGAGTCAGTTTAGTCCCTTGTTTGGAATTGTCAGCATGCTGTGTGGAATTTAAAATTGTATCTAGATGGCAAACTTGGGTTTGGATCGATAGCTTAAAAAATTGGTTTTTGAACTTGAAACTGTGTTACTCACTGTCATTTTAAGTGGTTGCCTTATTTGACTAGTAGGCATTATGTTTTGAAAGGAAATAGAATTGCAGGCAAATTGGACCTACAGAGCTATATGCTTGGTCTTTTCATTGATAGAAGTTATCTTGAGAATTTCGTGTTTTAAAATTGTCACTTTGTAAGGCAGTTGCCTTTTAAAAAGTGGATGTAACGTTTACATACAGTGAAATAACACAGAATTTCAGCATAGAATTCATCTTTAATACATTTATACACTCATGTAAACATCACTGTAGTCAAACATTTCCATTATCCTTGTCCTCATGTTTCCTCCAACCAAGGAGCTATTAATTTTCAGTACATTCTTATTTTTAAGTAAGTGGGCAGATATCTGTGCGGAATTTGTGCTGAAGGTTGATTACTTAATTTTGTACTATTCCCATAGTTGTCTCATATTGCTTCACTTTTAATAGGTAAACCTAAAATGACTGTCCTAATCTGGCATTGTTCGAGATCAATTACAGGATCCAAAGATTAATTATATTTCATTTTCTTTCCACAGTTGAGTTGCTTTTACAGAATTAACAGGTCTCCAAGAAATTAAAAAAAAAAAATAAAGGTAAGATACCGGAGCTTAAGGCTTTTCACAGAGACTTGATTTAACAAAACAGAACAAAACTGACTAGGTACACAAGGCTTCTGTCCTTTATGTCTGGCCAGTAGTTAATGCCCACACAAGTGGAAGTCAGTTTATTACCCTGAGCAGAAATTTGATCATAGATAACATTTCTAACTTTGTAAAATGTACTGTGGTTGGTCAAATTCTTTAATACATCAAACACTTCTGTTTCAGTGGAAGATATATTTCTGCATATGAAAATAGTGTGGTCTTGTGGTGAAGCAACACTTGGCAGACTTACAAAGATTTGTTATTTTGATGCTCATATCTTACAGGTTAGGTGATACTGAAACGTTTCTTAAAAGTAGGTGGTTTATAGATGGGAGAAGGCTTCTTGCTTGTTCCTATAAAATAATTGGATCCTTTATTTTTGTTTTAAATATGTGAACTTCTCTCTTGTTTCCATTTACGACTGCTGAAGAAGGCAGGAACCAGAAGTCATTATTAAACTTTGGGATAAAGTGCTTCGAAAATAAGACTTGCTATTATGTGTACCTTTTTGTCTGCAGGTCATTATTCCTGTGGTTTGAGCTCAGCATGGCTGTAGTCATCCGTTTACGGGGGCTTCCTTTATTTGCGGCGCCTGTGGATATTCGTCGCTTCTTCACGGGATTGACTATTCCTGATGGAGGAGTGCATATAATTGGAGGGGATATGGGGGAGGCTTTTATCATTTTTGCAACAGATGAAGATGCAAGACGTGCCGTCAGTCGCTCTGGCGGGTTTATCATGGATTCGTCTGTGGAGCTCTTTCTTAGTAGCAAGGCAGAAATGCAAAAGACGATTGAGATGAAAAGAACTGATTGCGCAGGAAGAGAGCGGCCCGGATCTGGGACAACAGGCGTCGGCGGCTTGCCCAGTGTTGAGGCCCTTAAGGAAGAAGCAGGTAACTCTGAGTATGTCTCGCCACTGAATCGAGATGCTGGGTTCCACGCCAACGGGACCGGACATGGTGACTTGAAGCCAAGAAAGACAAGGCCATCGAAAGCTGAGAATCCTTACTTGTTTCTCCGGGGCTTGCCTTACTTAGTGAATGAAGAAGATGTTCGTGTGTTTTTCGCTGGTCTGTGGGTAGATGGGGTCATTTTCTTAAAACATCATGATGGCCGAAATAACGGCGATGCCATCGTCAAGTTTGCTTCCTGTATCGATGCTTCCGGAGGGCTTAAGTGTCATCGAAGTTTTATGGGGTCAAGATTCATAGAAGTGATGCAAGGCTCCGAAGAGCAGTGGATTGAATTCGGTGGTAATGCCGTGAAGGAAGGTAGCGCTCCTGCGAAGACGGAGGAACAGTCTCCGGCCAGAGGAAGCAGCGAGAGGCATTCTCGAAAACGGTCTCATTCAAAGTCGCCCCGAAGAACACGCTCCCGCTCTCCTCACGGGTACTACGTTCAGTTGAAAAACCTGTCCCTAACTGTTAACAAAAGAGATCTGAAAAATTTCTTTCGCGATACCGATCTCTCCAGTGAGCAGATTAAGTTTCTGTATAAGGACGAAAGAAGAACGAGGATTGCCTTTGTGGTGTTCAAGACTCTGAGAGACTATAACGCCGCGCGGGGGCTGCACAAGACGCCTCTACAGCACCGCCCAGTTCACATCGATCCGATATCTAGAAGAGACATGCTGAAGCTGATTAAGTTTTATGAGAAGAAAAGAGCCGCGTCGACCGAGAAGGAGCGGCTTGAGCACGGCGCCCAGAAGTACGCTCCAGAAGGCTATTCTGGCCAGAAGCTCTGCATCTACATCCGAAACTTCCCGTTCGACGTCACAAAGGTGGAGGTGCAGAAGTTCTTCGCCGACTTCGCGCTGGCCGAGGAGGAGATTTACTTGCTGTACGACGACAAAGGAGTCGGTCTGGGAGAAGCGTTGGTGAAATTCCCATCAGAAGAGCAGGCCAAGAAAGCCGAACGTCTGAACCGGCGGCGGTTCTTGGGGACAGAAGTCTTGCTGAGGCTGATATCCGAGGCGCAGATGCAGGAGTTCGGCGTCAGTTTTCCGGCGGTGTCCAGTGAGCGAGTGCACGCTCGCTCGCACTCGCGCGACAGAGACGACTATTTCCAGTCGTTTGAGTCCGACGAGCCGCCCACGTACTCGGGCGGCCCTTCCGAAAACTACCGACGCCAGCCAGAGGACTCGAGGCAGCCGGACAGTTACAAGCATCCCCAGGGGGACTTCCGGCAGCCTGACAGGTACCCTCCGAAAGACTTCCGGCATTCCTCAGAGGACTTCAGCTACTCCGCGGAAGACTTCAGGCACCCGCGGGAGGAGCACTTCCGAAGGCTTCCCGAGGAGGACTTCAGGCACCCGCGGGAGGACGACTTCAGGCACTCCCGGGAGGAGGGCTTCGGGCGTCGCTGGGAGGACGACTGGCGGCGGCCACCAGAGGAAGACTTCCGGCCCTCTTCCGAGGAGGACTGGAGGCGGCCTGCCGAGGGGGACTTCAGGCGGCCGCCAGAGGAGAGCTTCAGGCGCCCACCCAAGGAGGATTTCCGGCATTACGCCAAGGAGGAGTTCCGCCGTTCTCCCGAGGAAGATTTCAGGCCTTCTCCCAAGGAGGACTTCAAGCGGCCGCCTCAGGACCACTTCCGGCGGCCCCCCCCAGACCACTTCAGGAGGCCTCCCCAGCAGCACTTTCGGAGGCCCCCCCAGGAGCATTTCCGGCGGCCTCCCCAGGAGCACTCTCGGAGGCCCGCCCAGGAGCATTTCCGGCGGCCGCCTCAGGAGCATTTCCGGCGGCCACCCCAAGAACACTTCCGGCGTTCCCGAGAGGAAAACTTCAGGCACCCCCCAGATGAAGACTACAGGGGTCCTGCTGACGAAGACTTCAGGCATCCTCCCGAGGAGGACTTCAGGAGCTCCCAGGAGGAAGATTTTCGACGCCCTTCTGATGAGGACTTCAGGAGGCTTCCTGAGGAGGATGTCAGGGAAGCTCCCGAGGACGACTCGAGGCTTGCTGACAGTTTCCGAAGTCATCGTTCTGTGGCAAATGTTGGCCGTCCGGAAGGTGGCAAATTTGACTTTGGAAAGCGTAATATGGGAAGTTTTCCCGAGGGGAGATTTGTTCCTGATCCAAAATTAAACTGTAGTTCAAGTAGAGTGACTCCTCTAAAGATTATGAATCTTCCATTTAAAGCCAATGTCAATGAGATTCTAGATTTTTTCCATGGCTATCGAATCATACCCGATTCAGTTTCAATACAATATAACGAGCAAGGGTTACCAATAGGGGAAGCCATTGTTGCCATGGCAAACTACAGTGAAGCCATGGCTGCTATTAAAGATCTAAATGATAGGCCAGTTGGCTCCCGCAAGGTTAAGTTAACTTTGCTCTAAAGAAAATCTCTAATTCAGAATTACCTCCCCGCAGTATTGAAGCAGTAAAGATGTATTTGTTTTTCAGAAGTGTTTATTTTAATTAGCTTACGAGAAGAAACATTTTATTTTGACCTGTGACTAGAACCAATGTATTCTAGAATGTGACTCGTTTACTTTTGCCTGCAAATTGCCATTCACTTTTTCTAATTAAAAAAAATTTTTTTTTGATAGTGGGGGAAGAGTAGTAATGCCCCAATTTTGTTATTTTTTTGTTGCTGTCCTGGATAAACCTCAAGATATGTATATAGTAGAGCTGTATTTGGGGAGGATAAGTTTTATGTTCACTTTAGTTCTATTTTGTCGCATACATCTTTTATTAAAACTGTATAAGGAGATGGTCAGTGACTGATTGTTCAGGTTTGGCATTTTCATTGCTAACTGCCTGCAAAATAATTGCCCTCTTCCTTGTCTTCAGCTATTACTATGTTAATACTCCTGTTGATATAGTTAAAAAATGGACAGACTGTGAACTTGAGGTTTACTTCTATGTAAAGAGCTTAGGATATTCTTAAAGTTCCCATGTTCATAACTTTGGAAAAGTTTTATAAAAATAAAAAATTGGAACTGAATAGAGCAACTAACTTGTATTTATAAAAAGAAAAAAGAATCACAGCTGCTTTTGTGAAGTTTTTCAACAGCTATATTAATATTTATGATAAAGGGGGACCAATCATTCTACAGTAGCCACAGTGCTTTGTGTAGTTTTACGGTTTCTTCAGCATCTCATCAACCAAACTGAGAACAGGTTAAAAGAAAAGAATGTAATTATAGGTACCAGGGGACAGTAAGGCTTAATACTGGAAAGAATCTGTATTTCTTTAATACAGAATGTTTACATAAAATTTTTGTTAAATGCATAGTTTGTTTCTAGGAACTATTTACTGATGAGTCATATAAATTATTTTTTTATTGGGTTTTCATTTTTTAATTTCAAAACTTTGTATTCATTTAGAGATTCAACAGTAAGACTTGTGCTTGAATTTTGACCTCTTGGATATATATAGCACATAGTATAGACATTTTGCAGTTATTGGATTTGGTTTCTATACCCATAATAAATATTAATGGCTAATGTGTATTGCCTCCTATTGTGTTAGGCAGTATAAGTGCTTTGCATGTAGAATCTCAATATTCCCCGGAAGCATTTTTAAAAAAATTTCACAGATGAGCTAGTGACATTTAGATTGATTTAAGAAACTTACTTGAAGGCATAGCTGGTAAATCATGGACCAGTTTTAGCCCAAACAAAACAGACTTCATTTCATGCTCATTATGTATTTGCCTACTTTGTTCAGTGGCACTTTTAAATTTTGTATGACCATGCTAACTGTATTTTCATGAATAGAAGATATTTTCTTACCTCCACTGTTCTCTTAAAAAACATTATTTAAAAGGATAAAATTAGGATGTCCAGTTGTTAAAGTAATTTTTCAAAGTCTTTTTACATCAGGATTTCTCTTGGATACTGATAGAAATATAAATTGTTCATTATATGAAGTCTGATTTGGCACATGGTTGGCCTCACCCTAATTTACATAAAACATAATTTCCCTCACTTTTGTAATCCCCCTATTTCTCCCACTGAATAATAAAACTTGAATTTATTTGATGGTTTAGTAATATAGTAGGATATTGCTGAAGTAGAATCCTTTGTCGGTACTTAATGTGTACTCGTATTTTGTGTTGATTTTAGTTACTGGAAGAAGTCTAAGAGAAGCCAACTAGAGTTTGTGTTTTTAATTATTGAGACTTTCCTGCTTGCTGAAGAATGAACTTAGTAAATGGTTCAAGGAAGCACATCACTATGACTCTTTAAACTTACAGTAAGCTTACAGATAGCCAGGAGAATAAATCCATTCTCTGTAATACCCAAATCAATAAAATGGAAGAAGTTACTTTTAAATGCTCAAGGATTATACAGATGGTTCATGTGACCTGCTTTCATGTGGACTATATCATATGGAAGACTTAAAAACACTTCTCAAATACCTATCAAGCTAATATGATGCTTAAAGGTGGACATTTAATGTGGACATACTTCTAATCTTGAGAAAACAGGATTGTGGTAGTTAAATAGTATTTAGTATTTTGAATTCTGAAATTCCTATATTTTACTCCACAATCTATATACTTTTTATCTTTTTAAAATAGTTAATTATAGGAACTAATGTATTTTGGGAGCCATTATTGCACATCTCTTCCAATTCTGCCTTCAGTGGAATCTTCACAACTGAAATTTGCCATGGTAGGAGAGTTTTCACCGTGGAAATGGGCAAATGCAGCAAATCGGTATATTTTCAACTTGTAGAAAACAGATTTAGTAGCACATTACCAGTTTCGATATGTAAAAAGAAAACTACTAAATTTTCATACACCTTTACCCAGCTTTTATCAGTATCTCATACCAAGTTTTGTCTCTATTCTCCTTTCATGAGGTGCACTAGGAGCGTAACAAAGGGTATTTTAAGTTATCTTAAACACAAGCATTTTATCTAGAAGGTAGGTAGCTGAAAAACGTGTATCTAGAGAGTAAGCTTAATCTGAGATAGCTAAGAATCATGTTAGAAATACTCTTACTAAGAACACTACCATGAGCAATGGTTCTTGGTTCACATATCACCTATTAAGCAGTGATCCCTTCACCTCTGTCTTTATATTAAACATTAGATACTGTATTATGACTATCGTTGAGTACCACTAATCTTAAAAAATATGGAGGTAATATATGAAGGACTGTTAAAACATCAAGTTCGTAGCTTGCTTTTTGTTTTGCAGTAAGGGAGAAGTATTTTTTTTATTTTAATACATGGCTACATCTTAAATGATTATGGCAGGTACCTTTGTAATAGCCTTAATTTTATCTAATAGCTCACATGGAAAATGCCATTTAGACTTCTAAGAAAAAAACTGCCAACCTACATCAGTTCTAAACTTAATTTTACATTGATGAAAGTCATGGATAGCATTACTTTTGTGCACAGAATATTTTTTTGAGGTAGGTAGGACATTTTATATCAATTCTTCACTTACTGCTTTTTATGTCAGGTACTTTTAACTTTCAAGATAAGAGAAATTAAGTGTTCAAAAGAAGTGATTTGCTACAGAGGGCAAGATAAACAGTATTAAGTCTTGTTTCTCCCAGCTACGTCAAACGGTAAGATAGAAATAAGCAATGTTTTCAATTTGATAAGAATATCAAAATGTCTTAAAAAAGGTACAGAATTTTATCACGTAGAACTATTCTCAGGAAGCGGTGCTTTGTTAGAAACAGAATTCTGAATAATCATAAAGATCCTTAGAAAGTCTTTATTTTTCTATTATAATTGCTTTTGTGATTATCCCAAAAGATTTTATATAAATTTCATAATTTTTATATGTCTGATCCATGAAATAGCAAAAGTACAATTCTCCATTCAAAGAAACAAAAGCATCAAGCTATACTGAAAGGCTCTTCTTTTATATTTCTGGAAATAAGTGTTCATTAACTAGATGGTAATTGGCACATTTTTTTTATCGAGGTTTTATTTATGATTTTCCATGTTTTCTTAGACAAAATTACAATTTTCCAATTATACATTGCTGATACATGTATAATAGTGGTTTGATTTTCAAACCAGAATCAGACTGATGCCTTTCTTTTTAAAACTTTGTTCTGTGAAACACTGATATCCTAGTATCCCTTTAATCAAGTGATTACAGTACTCTTGCTTTCTTGAAAAGCCAATTTACATAAAAAAATGATAAAACCAGGTTTCAGTAAAATGGATAAAAAGCCAAAGAACAAAAGAAAACTTGTCTAAGGTTTATGAAATACTTGTATTTAGTCAGTTAGTATGTAGTACCATTTTCTGGTGATGAAATATGTTTATCTAAAAGCAAGTGGAAGTGTTAGATCTTTTGGGTACTGTCTACTTACTACTGTAACAACCTCATCTAGGTATATAGTATGGTGGGTTACATTACTATGAAATACGTAGTTTAAAAAAATGGGACCGATACAAAAAGATCATATGCCACTAGGTACAATGTTGAAACGACAGTTGTATAATACTTTTTAAAAACTTGGATTTTCCATTTCCAGTAGATTTCATTTTGGCATTGACTGTATCAAGCCAGTATCAAGTTTTACAATTATCCCAAATTCCAAATAATTTTAGATGGAAATGGAAATGAAAATTAATTTTCATCTTCTGTAATATCTAGGTCTTCATCCTCTTCATCATCATCTGCTTGTTGATCCTTTCTTAGCCGACAAGTGGTTACCTGTTAAAAATTTAAAAACTATTAAAAAAAACTAACTTGAAAATATTTTTCATGCGTGCTATCTTTTTATTAAAAATGCCTTTACAGGAAAGGGCACAAAGAAGAAACATTTCAGAAAAATATCCATATGTAATAATTCTTAATTATGAATTCTCCCTTTGAACTATTGTATTGACATTAAAACATTTAAAAAGTTCATTCACATTCTTTTTAAATAAAAGTTTGAAATTAACCATTTGATTCCACTGGCTAATAGTATTTAGGTCAGGGATTAGCTCCTGGCTAAGTGCAGGGATTCCTGGTAGTGTTCAGGGGACCATGTGGGGTGTCATGAAACAAAATGGGTTGACTGGGTGCAAGGCAATCACTTTAAGCTCCGTTAGTATCTTTTTTTTTTTTTGCTTATTTTGGGGGCCACACCTGGTGGTGCACAGGGGTTACTCCTGGCTCATGCACTCAGGAATTACTCCTGGCAGTGCTCAGGGGGCCATATGGGATGCTGGGAATTGAACCTGGGTCGGATGCGTGCAAGGCAAACACCCTACCCGCTCCAGCCCCTGGTTAGTATCTCTTCAGCCCATGGGTACTAATACTTCAATAACAAAATCCTGGGCTAGGGTTGGAGCTCACTGGTGGAGTATATGCCTCATTTGTGTGAAGCCCCAGATCCTCCATCATTAGCACAGCAAAAGGGGAAAAATGCTTTTAGAGGAAGGCTATAAGGGCAGTCTGACTGTCAAAAGTATTTTAAGGACTGGAGAAATAGTTACAGGGTTGGAACATATGCTCTGCATGAATGAGGACCCCTGAGCATCACCTGGAGTAATGTTGCTGGAGTAGCACCTGAGCACTGCTGCTGTTGCCCAAACAAACAGATCTCTACCTATATATATATTGGTAGGTTGTGAGTTACAAAAGCAGGTCATAGAAGTGATGGTGGAAAACCCAAAACTAAGCACCTGAAGTGTTAAATTTTAAAGTTAGTGTGAATTAGTCAGCTTTTCTCAACCGATAATCTGTTAGCTCCCAAGATATCCCAAGGGGGCCATATATGAAAAACCTGTACAATAGGAGGCCAAAGTGTGAAATTAGGGAGTTAGCTACAGGATAGGGGGCCACAGGAAGGAAACAAGGCAGGAAGGGACCCCGGATGGGGAGAACATTGGGAAGTGTGGTTTAAATGGATGCAGAGTTTCGTTTCCCTACTTTGCTTTAAGTCACAACTGTTGCCACTTGGATCATTTCTTCAAACCTTTTCAAGAATGACTAACCCTCTAGACAGATTTGATAGTTCTGGGGATATTGCTGATGGTCACAACTGGGAGAGGTTGTGCATGTCTGTGTATGGGTAGAGGCTAGGGATTTTACTCATCTTTACCATGCACAGGACAACAGCTCTGGTACTCTCTCGCTGAGGTTGAGAAATCCTGGGATAACATATTTCTACATTGCTACACAGATGTCAGCTAGAGATAACATTAGCATCAAAGGGTGAAAGACTTGTTCTATAATACTAGATTTATGGAATATAAGAACAAAGCACTTATTGTTGTGAGCGATAAAAATAATCTGGTTGAGGAGAGATGTGTAAACGCAGAATCAGTGTTTACAGAGCAAGTAAGTAGAAGGTTGAAAATACTTGCTTTCAGTTTTTTCCCCTCCCATTGGGGGTAGGGGGACTTGGGGTCATACATGGCAGTTCTCAGGGGCTAGTCCCAGCTTGGAAATCACTCCTGTGGACGTTTGGGGGAGACCACATTGTGGTATCTGGGATTAAACTGAGGTCAGCCACATGCAAAGCAAGCACCTTCATCCCTGGACATCTTTCAAGCCCCATTCAATCTTAAATCTAAAACCATTTGCAGCTGGCAAGGTACTGTCCTTTTGTCTCTGATTTTTTTTTTTTTTTTTTGCATTTTGGGTCACACCCGGCGATGCACAGGGGTTACTCCTGGCTCTTCACTCAGGAATCACTCCTGGCAGTGCTTAGGGGACCATATGGGATGCTGGGAATTGAACCCGGGTCAGCCGCGTGCAAGGCAAACGCCCTACCCACTGTGCTATTACTCCAGCCCCTTGTCTCTGATTCTTTATAAAACTTTGCTCTTAGAAAGTTATTACAGCACAAGTTTTACTCCTTTATGTTTTATTTGAGACAGTCATATGGTTTATAACGCCTGATCTTTTCTAAGAACCTTTACAGAAGAGAAATGGTGACTCCTCCCATTCTAGATACCAGGTTTTCTGGCTATGTAGAACTAACTTAATGAGAAAACGGATTATGGCCGCCATTTATATTAAAAATCTATGATAATGTTAGCAAAAGCCCTTTTAGACATAATTCCTCATCATGATAGAATTAAAATCCTAAAAGGAGTGTGCGTTTATTTTTTGATTTTGGAGCCACACCTGGCAGTTGTCAGAGCTTACCTGGCTCTGAGTTCAGAGAGCATTCCTGGCGGTACTTGGGGGACCATATGAGAAGCTGGGGATCAGCCACATGCAAGGCAGGAGCCTTACCTGCTATACTGTCACTTCAGCCCAATACTGGGATTTTATATTCTAGGCTCTTCAAATTATAACAGAGAACAAATCTAGATAATAATCTCATCTTTTAAACTTTGCATTACATTTAAGTGTTCTGTTCTAGAGAGTAATGTGTATCACAGTGTAACCTTGTTTTCATTTTACGTCACTGTCCTCCCGTTGGTCATCGATTTCGCTCGAGTGGGCCCAGGAACATCTCCATTTTGAGACTTCTTGTTACTGTGTTTGGCATATCGAATACGTCACGGGTAGCTTGCCAGGCTTTGCCGTGAGCGCGATACTCTTGGTAGCTTGCCGGGCTCTCCGAGAGGGGCGGAGGAATCGAACCCGGCTCGGCCAGGCTGGCTGAGCGCAAGGCAAACGCCCTACTGCTGTGCTATCGCTCCAGCCCACAAATTGATTTTACGTAAGGGTAGGAAGTCATGCTAGAGAAAACCTTAGTCTGAACAGTTCCAGAGGGGTGGGGCAGACTCCAGTAGATTGTGGTTTTGAGCTCACCTGCCCTGTTCCAGATTTAGCTGAGAGCGATCTTTGAAGAGGTGACTTTGAGTTTGCTCTTACAATATCTAAGCGAGATGAATAATCTGCTGGGTACAGAGAATTTCGGAATACCTGTTGCAATAATAAAAGCAGTCACTAAACAATGAAAATCTAGAAAGCCATGTTGAGTTTATCTCAGGTAAACATTTTAAAAGTCAGACAAGCCCCCCCAGGAAATTTCAATTAGTATAAAATTTAAAACAAAATTTTTGAACAGGTTCTTTTGTGTGTGTGTGTTCTGGGTCATACCAGGTGATGCTTGGGCCAGATCGATAGCATAGCGGGTAGGGCATTTGCCTTGCATGCAGCCATCCTGGGTTCGATTCCTCCGTCCCTCTTGGAGAGCCCGGCAAGCTACCGAGAGTCTCCTGCCCGTATGGCAGAGCCTGGCAAGCACCCCGTGGCGTATTCAATATGCCAAAAACAGTAACAAAAAGTCTCACACTAGAGACGTTACTGGTGCCCACTTGAGAAAATTGATGAACACCAAAGGACAATGCTGCAGTGCTACCAGGTGATGCTCAGAGGTTAATCCCGGCTCTGTACCAAGGTGCCCGGGGGCCATATAGGCCTATGGGGATTGAAGTCATCCACATAAAAGGCAAACACCCTACCAACTATACTATGCCTAAGACCCCCATAAATATTTTTTAAAGTATTTGGGTCACACCAGGCAATGCTCAGGGGTCACTCCTGGCTCTGCACTTTGACCATATCGTGTGCTGGGTACCTTAAATCAGTTCTCTACAGATTCTTCTGACTGCTTTATATTCATGTTCCTGGCTACCTTTTGTTTTCCTAGACCTGAAAAGTCTAGTTAGAACTTTCTAACACGATAAAAATGTTTGCTAATCTTCAAATAGAACTCTCCCATGACTGAGGAACTGAATTTTTCGTTTTAATTCAAATAATGAGAGGCTTAGATTCACCTTGACAATTACTAAAGGCCTTAACGGGCACCTAGTATCCCAAACTAGCAGCATAGGCACTGTCCTTAAATTTCTGACCTGAAGACCTTCTATTTTAACTGGTTTAATCTAGTACATCTGTATAGCTTATGTGTAATTATCTTACTAAAGACCAAGTTGTGTTACTTAACTGGCTCCTGTCTAAAGTCCAGATGTCTTAGATGATATTCAAGGCCTAAGACTGTGCCAGTTTACCTAGTCAGTCTACTTCTAATCTGAATATGTTACATTACATTTTTCAGATGCTGCTTACTCGGCCTGGAATCTTATCAAATGTACCTTTTTGAAAATGAAAAAAATCAAAATGCATGTGATTGTTTTGGGGGGGAGGGCGGGGGGTCCCTTTTTGTCTTATCAACAGTTCCTACTATTCAGATGCTTATGTCACTTTTTCTCATGTCACTGTTCTGTGATAAGACGTCCCCCAAACTAGAATTAGGTTCCTCGGGGCGGTGTTCTCGGTCTGTCTCTCCCTCCCTTCCTTCCTGTGGGTGCCTCCTAGACTCTTGCAGTTACACAATTTTCACCCGTTCCGTTTGTGGAAGCTCTGGGGGCTTATACAGGGTCATAAAAGCTCCAGGCTGAGAAATGCTGCTAGAGCTGTTTCCTAGAGTGAAACTCCTCCCCACGGGGCACTGGAGCAACAGAGGGGTTTGTACTTGGTTTGCTCACTTAAGATAAATTTCTGGGGGAACTGAGTAATTCTTTTCTGAAAAGGAGGAGGTAGGCCAAGTTAATTTGAGGAACACTATTCTAGAACAAAGCTCATCTTCGGACACCTTCCAGTAACTTGTTTTGTGGTTGTATTTTTAGTTTTTGAACCACATCCAGTGGTACTCACGGTTACTAGGCCCCTCTCAGTGCTTGGGAATCATTGTGGCGGTTGTCTGTGGGACCATCGCCTGCTTGGGCTCCAACCCACGTGCTTTCCTGCATGCAGAGCACATGCTCCAACCCCCAAAAGTAGCTTGTTTTTGTTTTGTGAGCTACATCTCAGTGGTGCTAAGGACTTACTCTGGCTCTGTGATCAGGGACCATTCCTAGTGGGGCTTGGTGGACCATACGAGGTGCCAGGGATCAAACGGGTCTCCTGTGTGGAAGGCAGGTGCCCTACCTGCTGTACTATCTCTCTGCGCCCTCAAAAGCAATTTTTTTTTTTTAAAAGAATTGATGTTTGCTTAACATGAACTCAGTTGAAGAGACCTAAGTAAGCGGATTTTTACACATTTCTTTAAACCACAGAGAAGTGGAGAATACAAACAAAAATCAAGGGACGAGAAAACACAAATGGTAAAGCTGTTTCATGTTAAATGAGGGGAAGAGGTTTCTGAGGATCAAATTATGTTTTGTTGTCCATCTTGGAGCTGTGGCATCCAGTATGATATAAAAATTGGATGACTCATGAATCAAAATGAATTTGAAAGGAATGTATTTTTATTAGAACAACATTGCAAAACTTAGAGCAAAGGTGAATTTTAAAATGAGAGATAGGAAACTAAGTATATTTTATCCTTTGGATAAAAGTCTAAACAGTTAAAATGAATTGCTTATTGCAATGCAATATATTTAAGGGAACATTATTTTACTGGAATCATGCACTTTGCAATGTGATCCAAGATCTTAACTTATAGTACTAAGTCTCATGACCCGAATAAAATTTGAATACTGCACAGAGGTGATCTTTTGGAGGGGGAAACGGGCCCTTAAAATACTTTTGTTAGACGAAGAGCAATTATATAGACAGGCTGTGAGAGCAGAGGCCTGCCTGCAGATAGCCAACTTAGTTTCAGCAGTTCCCATAAAGCATGGAGAAATGTTCTTTCTTTGTCCTCTCTGCATATTTTGTTTCCAAGAAATCTTGTATTTAAAAGGATTCTTCCTCTTTGTACCAGGTTGAGTATTACTTCCCTTAGTTCCACAACTCTCCCCAGAAAGCTCTCTCCTCTTCAGGTTTTGAATGCCTAATGCTCAAAGCTGTGTCTATAGTTCACTGATGGTACTGCCTTTAGGCCTCTGTTTTTTTTTTTTTTTCTTTTTGGGTCAAACCCAGCGATGCTCAGGGGTCATTCCTGGCTCTGTACCCAGGAATCACTCCTGGCGGTGCTTGGGGGACCATATGGGATGCCGGGGATTGAACCCAGGTCGGCTGCGTGCAAGGCAAACGCCCTACCTGCTGTGCTATTGCTCCGGCCTAGGCCTCTGTGTTTTAATACCCACCTGAAGTTATTTTGCTAGGGGTCCTCTGACTCATCCCCCATTCTCTGATTGTTCAGACTATAATCTTATGAGAGAGTCTGGAGCACAGCACACTGTATTTTTAAAATTAATGGAACTGGTGTATTATAAAAGCAACACAATGTTTTTATTATTATATATGTGCATGTGCGTGTGCGTGTGCGTGTGTGTGTGTGTATCACTGTATCACTGTCACTGTCCTCCCATTGTTCACTGATTTGCTGGAGCGGGCCCAGTAATGTCTCCACAGTGACACCTGTTACTGTGTTTGGCATACTGAATACGTCACAGGTAGCTTGCCGGGCTTTGCTGTGCGGGCGAGATATTTTTGGTAGCCAGGCTCTCCAAGAGAGGTTCGGCCGCTTGCAAGGCAAACGCCCTACCCGCTGTGCTATCGCTCCAGCCTATATATATATATATATATATATATATATATATATATATATATATAATTTTTTTTTGGGGTGGTGCCATATCTGGCAGAGCTCCAAGAAACATACACCATGCTGGGGAGCAAAACCAGGTCAGATACATGCAGCAAACACCTTACCCACTTTATTCTCTCTCTGGCCCCTGTATTATATATTTTTTAATAGATGCTACAACATGGTGGGGTTGGCAGGTGTACGTTCTACCCCTTGAGCCATATTCCCGCTCTAGTATAATTTTAAATAGCTCCTGGTAGGCTTTTATTTTAAAGTTTCTACATTGATGACTTGATGGCTTTAAATACTTAGCATTTAGAATGATGCCTGGCCTATAGTAGATGCACAATAAGGAGCTGTGGAGTGAACTTTCTTGTTTCTGGGCCTTACCCAGTGATGCTTAGGGCTTACTCCGAGCTCTGCACTCGGATTATTCCTGGTGGGCGCAGGGATTCATATGGGATGCTAGGGGTTGAACCCGGGTCAGCCATATGCAAGGTAAACGCCCTACCTGCTGTACCATCTGGCCCATGAATGAACTTTTTATGAGGTAAGTACTCTTAATTATTTTGTAGACAAGGAAGTTGCTCAGTGCTGCTCCGCCAGATTATGGGAAAGTTAATATTCCGCACATTTACTGCACAAACCTGGGATCTTTAGTTTTTCACGAATGTCTGGCAAGCTAGCTAGCTAGCTGATTAAGATCAGCACTAAGTATAGTACAGCGAAATGACCATGTAGGAACTATCTACTGGCAAAAGGGCAAGCAGACAAGATTTTGTATGCACAGCATATGTAACTGAAATTACGTTTTAGCATTAGAAAATATACATATACTGAAAGTCACACACTTATTTTTGTCAAGGCATAAACTTGATTTATTTCTTTCTTTTTGGGTCATACCTGGCAATGCACAGGGGTTACTCCTGGTGGTGTTCAAGGGACCATATGGGATGCTGGGAATTGAACCCGGGTTGGCTGCATGCAAGGCAAACACCCTACCTGCTGTGCTATTGCTCCAGCCCCTAAACTTGTTTTATTAATTTAAATAACTTGGAACTACTGGAATAATGGTAAAGAAACGCCCAAGGAATCGCTTTATATGAATAATGTAGCTGTAAGAAAAAATTGTGGGGAGAGATGGGGAAACCTTAATCTTCAAAACAAAGACGTGTCAAAAGACAAACGTCTAAATTCGCTCCTAAATTCTTTCTCTTTAGAATTCTGGCAGGTGGGGCCTTTGTTTTGCTGCAGTTCGATTCCTGGCATCCATTTGATCTTCCAAGCTCCACCAGGAATAGTTTAAGTGCAGAGCTGGGACCAACCCTCCTACAACAACCACCTGCCTCCACCAAGCAAGATATCTATCTGTCTACCTATATGTATATATATATCTAGATATGCATCTCAAATTCTAGCAACATATTGAGAGTACATGGCATCTGTGCACCATGCATGGCATAAAGAGTAAAGATAAAAGCTTAAATCACTTACATTTATTATACTTTAATGACATTTTTCCAGTTTTCATAATTTTATATGAACTTACTGGAAATACATCATTATTAATGTAAAACATTTTAAATGAAGAATCATTTCCATAGCTATTTGAGACTGCATGTGATAACCATTGTAGTTCTGCTTTAAGGTATTTTTATCCACACAAACTAAATCTTGTTTGAACACCCCATATTAATTAAAAAAAACAAAACACCAAAAAACCACAACGATCTTACTCATAGTCCTACCTCTAAATCTTCTTTTTCATCGATCCTCTGTATATCTTGGAAGGCAGTGGTGTAGACCTCTAAAGCTTTGCCATGAAATAACATTTCAATTGTGATAAATTCTGAAAATATATTCTAAAAAAATAAAGATTTGAATTTAAACAATCATATAATTGGCTTGGTGAGTTTTAAATTTATTCCTTACAATATCTCTGATGTTTATGCAAAGCAGCGGTGTCTGGCTTTACCTGCAGGGGAAATTAAATCTAAAAACATGGAATAAAAAAGTTATGAAGATCTTTGGAAACAATACCTTCAAACTGTGATATGCGATTAAAAAAAAAAATCAGACTAAAGGAATACCAGTATGTACCGTTTCAAGGTGCCTATACAATAATATTCAGAGTTCTGAAGTTGGTTATTCAGCAAAACTAATGGAATGATTCTTTATATAGGCATTGCATTCCACTATATTTCTGAGTATATGTCACTATGTTTTCTAACCACCAAGGAATTCCTAATAATATTCCTCCCACTGATAATAGAGCTTCACAGTTTAAGATACATAACTTGCCCAGGGTTTCTCACAGCAAACATTCGGTTTGACACTTGAATCTGAGTTTTCAATGGTCTTAGCTCTTACTGTACTGTGCTGTTCCTGCTGGAATAAATTTCCTTCACAAACTGGTAAGTAAAATCTGTGAATATGGGGCTGGAGAAATAGTACAGTGGGTTAGGAACATCCCTTATGCAACGGCAGGTTCAATCCTTAGTAGCATGCATGGTCCCCAAGCACTGCCAGAGCAATCTCTGAGCAGCACCAATTGTCCAAAAGCAACAAATAAAAAACACTAGGGTTTACAACTGGTGTGGACCCATTAGCGCTCAGGCAGGCAGTGCTTGGGGGCCACTAGGACCACACCTACAGGTGCTCAGTGGGCCATGCAGTGCCAGGGATTAAACTCAGGAACAGATCTGAGGCATGTGGTCTATTACTTTAGCTGTCTCTTTGGTCCAAGTCTTAGACTAAGATCATGAGCAAAGAGAATGAGTGAAGACGGATGATCGAAGTAGGGGGTGAGATCACTGGTAGGTAGGAAAGACTGCAAATATGATTTCATAAAATAAGACTTGATCCTTCTCTCTTTTTTTCCCTCTTGGTTTCTGGGCCATGCCCAGCTGTGCTCATGGATCATTCCTCGTGGATTCAGGGGACCATATGGGGCACTACATAAATCTTGGTTGGCGCATGCAAGGCAAACACCCCTCCTGCTGTACTACCTCTGTGGCCCAGGATCTTAACCTTTTCTTAATAATCATCTTGCCCTTTATCAAAGTAAACAATCAGAGTATTAATGTAGAAAGAAGCGGACAGAACAACAACAGCGTTGAAAAGATTCAAGTATTGTCCTTTTAAGGGTAGAACAGTTGATGACTTAGGCTTCAAACCCCATTAACATGAACAACTTCTTGCTCTCCTACAGCAACCAACCAAACAGGAGTGAAGTTTGGTTCCATCCACTGTCAGTGTCCTATGATTATTTTTTCTTCATCTTATCTTAAGGATTAGAAAAGAGACTACAAAAAGACGTTTCTCCCATGGAAACATCTGTATTTGAGAGTTGGCTCTTCAGAGTAACCAAACTTATGGCAAAGACTGTGTCTGGGATAAAAGACTCTGTCACATTATCTAGAGATTCTGCTGTACTGGATTGTCAACAGATTATTCTAATAGCCAGATGTCAAGATACAACCTTGGATTTTATATCAAGAATAGCTAGATACTGAGGATTCTTCAGAAGTAAATTGGCTTTTGGTCAGGGCTGGGCCTTACGTACTTAAGTCTTCCTAAGGTGGTTTGGCTGGAGCGATAGCACAGCAGGTAGGGCATTTGCCTTGCATGTGGCTGACCCGGTTTTGATTTCTCTGTCCTCAGAGAGCCTGGCAAGCTACCGAGAGTATCCTGCCTGCATGGCAGAGCCTGGCAAGCTCCCCGTGGCATATTTGATATGCCAAAAACAGTAACAAGTCTCACAGTGGAGACGTTACTGGTGTCCGCTCGAGCAAATTGAACAATAGGATGACAGTGCTACAGTGCTAAGGTAGTTTACATGATAGTAAGAATCTTATGCCTTGAATTTGAAAACTCCTAGAGGGAAAATAGTAGAGCTAGGAGTTAATGACAAGACAGCTGATGACTCCTATTTTGGACCGCAGCTCAGTCTGGTCATAGGAATAATTAAATATAGCCCGTATCTTCCCTCAGAATACTAAAATTAGAGTACATAAAATCAATCATAGAATTCATTATACTTATTAATTCTAGAATTATATGAAATAATAGTTTTCTTTTATTCAAGACTGGAAAAAACATTTCAATTAGGTTTAAGATGGGAACTACAATGTGAGTCCTTATTTAAGGTGAGTTCAGACAAGGTGGAGATACACGTTTTCTCATGTCAGATTAGTCAACTCTTTGTTTCCTCACCCCCCTTAGAGCCTGTTTACTTACATGGATAGAAAGAAGAAGCTATTTTCCTTATCCTGTAAAATTACCTGATGAAGCCAAACCAAGTAATTTTTTTACTCTTATATTGAAGCCTTAGAGGGAGGCTGCCTGTCACACTGTTTTTCACTAGTGAAATACAAACATGCACAACCATATTACACCTGTAGACCAAAGTTTAGGTCTAATTCACATCTGTTTCACTAACGATTACTGCAATAATAAAAAAAAATTTTAAATGCTTGTTTTGTAGGAATTGCACTTTTAGAAACCTTGGGAAATATGTAGATAAGTTTCACTGCGGAGATACGTGCAAATCATAATACCCATAAGTAGAGAGAGGAAGAGGGAAATTGTCTGCCACAAAGTCGGGGGGAGGAGCGGGATGAGGGTGGGGAGGGAAACTGGAGACATTGGCGGTGGAAAGTGTACACCTGTGGAGGGATGTCTGATCATTGTATGACTGGAACTTAAACATGAAAGTTTTGCAACTGCAACTCATGATGATTAAAAAGATACATGATTTATTGTAAAAGAATCTACTACATTCATTTTTAAAATAAGATTTGGGATTCTGGGCTAAACCAAGTGGTACTCAGGGCCTATTTCTGGCTCTGTGCTAGAAGTGACCCCTACTGGTGGTTGGGGGGGTCATAGGCGGTGCTCAGGATTCAAATTAGCCCTCTGGCCCAATACAGACATGTTTTAAAAGATAGTCTATCTACTCTGAGTCAACATTTTCCAATCTCGAAATTTAGTTTTTATGATTGGTGAAAAGGACAAAGTATCTTTGTTTTGGGGCCACACCTTACAGGCTGTACTATCTTCCCAGCGCCCTTGAACAGAGTATCTTTAATTTATAAATATTTTTCACTTGGAAGGTGGGAGAATCACTCCGCCCCACCGTTTCTGCTGTTGTTTTTGGGCCACACACTCAGGGAACACTCCTGGAGGGCTTGGGGGACCATCCAGGATGATGGGGATCCACCTGGGTTTCGTTGCTTGCAGGGAGAGCGCCCTACCTGTTGTACCTGCTCCAGCCCCTCAGGCCCCAATTTTTGATACTTGGGTTTAATACTTGGTGGTTTACTTTTTATTCTGGTTTCTGGGCCACACCCTGCATTGCTTTGGGCGGGGGTGGGGGGGGTGGGGCTCCGTGCCCCTGGGAGCCCGTGCGCGCAGGTTGACAGGGGTTAAATGCTCAACTCACATGTACAGCCAGGGCTCAACTCACAGCTGCCTTTCCAGCCTCTGACTTAGTTCTTAATGAAACCTCTATTACAAACATGGGAAGATGGAACTGGCCTGGTTTATTTTTTATTATTTTTTTTTTCTGCTTTTTGGGTCACACCTGGCGATGCTCAGGGGTTACTCCTGGCTCATGCACTCAGGAATTACTCCTGGCGGTGCTCGGGGGACCATATGGGATGCTGGGAATCGAACCTGTGCCGGCCATGTTGGCTGCGTGCAAGGCAAACGCCCTACCCGCTGTGCTATTGCTCCAGCCCCAGGCCTGGTTTATTTTTTATTTATATATTTTTGTCTATCAAAAACAACAATGGGGAATCAGTAGTATTACTGTTTAGTATTTGAGACTTGCAATTTTTGACCTAAAGGCCATGAAGTTTAATCACAGAAGAGGTATATTCATGAGTATAGTAAGGACAGAAAATTCACATCTTGACTACCAGAATTTCAGAAAACAACAGGCAGAGGAAAGACAGTCACAGCAAGGAACAGAGAAGTTAGAAGACAAATGGCTTAGGAACATGAAGCATCATTCAAGTTGTGCCTCAGACTTAACATTAGGTCAGTCACTCCCCTACTCTGACACCAAAATGTTCAATTTCTATAAAACCAGGAAAAATATTACTTACTGGAAAGTTCCTATTATTAAAATTTCATTGCGTTTCCAGCAATGTGGGAACGAAAGACAGCTCAACAGAGGAAAGATAATAAATGAGGAGGGGAGAAATTCTATGGATCTGGAAATAATAAATTTAGGCATCTACTTCATTGCCACAGATTAAATATTTAAAAACATATTTAAAAAAAGCAAGATTTGTCTGTCTAGAAGATAAAGACAATTTCTCTAAGCATAGTGCATCAGAGTGAAATTAAAACTTTAGGATGGCAAAAGCATCATAAGCAAGAAAATGGGAATGCACATATTTTCTCTGCATATACGGGATTACGTTTCTCAATATAAGTTTACAAATGAAGATGAAACAAAGCACAGGTTAAGGCAACTCGAATTTACTACAGAAAGTCATATGTGGACCGAAATAATAGTACAGCAGGTAGGTGCTTGCCTTGAACAAGCTGACTCAAGTTCAACTCCTGGTGAGGTGCAAGGAATATCTTCCCCCAGTCTCACCAGGAGTGATCCCTGAGCAGAGAGCCAGGCGTAAGCCTCGAGGGAGTGCCGCCGGGTGTGCCTCCTCCCAAAAGTCAAATTTACTGAATACATCATAAAGCTGTTTCAGTAATATGAATTAGGATGCTTTTTCAGTGATCATACTGAGTTATTAATACTTTATTGCTGTTATATTGGGGTAATCATGAAAATCCCAAATCTTATTTTTAAAATGAGTGTAGTAGATTTTTTTACCATAAATATTAAATATAT